GTATTTTCAGTTTGACCATACCTACCACACAACAACAACAGTCAAGCAGCATTTATTTGACTGACTGAGATGTAAATAAAACTTTATTGTGCCTGACAAATATCTTTCAAAGAACTGTTTAAGAATAGAGGTCTTAAATAGTTTTAAAGAATTACATATAATCAGTATTTCAGTTATCTCAGGACAGTATCGCATCCACAGAGCCAAATTTACCCGCTTTAAACTTTTACTCATAATATTTAAGCAAACTGAGCATTACATTAAAACAATTTGATCATCGTTTGCTGTTTTTACTAATAAACAGAAAAAGAAAAAAACGCTAGCTTTTCAAAGCCAGCGGGTTTTTGTTCAAGCCCCTCCCTCTTTACGTGCTACCCTGCACTACGCGGTGACGTAAGAACGTGACGCGCAGGGGTGGAGCTTGTGACTTTGCGAAATGGAGATAGGAGCTGCCGGTGAACACAGTCCTCTGTGTTGGAAGAATTTGTTGCCAAATCGAGCAGAAATATCGACAAACGAAACCAGCAACGTCGATCACAGCCGACCGGGCGAGACCACAGCAGCCAACGTATGAAAGTAAGTACCTGCTAGCTGGAGCTAGCCCTTCAGCTGGTGTTTGTTTGTTAGCCACCTTGTTGAAAAGTACAATTAGTCAGGCCAGGAAACTAAACGAAACACGTTGTTGTTAAGTCTTCACCTCTTCCAAGCGGGTGCTCATATGTGGTTGTTTTCGATTGTTATCAAACTGGTTCAAGAAATGCCAGCTAAAGCAGAGAAAAACACATTTACGCGGTGTTTCTGGTGGAGAATAGCTGTTAAAAGTGTCTGTAACAGTAAAAGGAGATTTAAAGTGATTGTCCCTGTTGTGTTGATTGTTTTGAGACTAGCTATGTACATGTAGATCATCCTGGCTTTTTTAAATCGTTTTTTTTTTTTTTTGCTGAACTCACGCATCCTGCTTGTGTGTTATTTATAGCTTATTTGCTAGTGCACTTTATAAGAGGAATCTATATTTAAGACTGGCCACAAAACCACCATTACATGGGGAAATTTTTTTAGGCCAAAAAAAATTAAGAGCATGTTCTTTGTCACATATTGTCTGATTTTTGCCTGAAAACCCCCGTGTACATATTGTTTACAATAAGGAAGCACTGACTGGCAAATTCTGAGGTGATATCAATACTAAATTAGACCAATAACCAATTTCGTGGTGGATTTTGGTCCTGATATTCGGCTGATATTTGGATGCAGTCATAGTTTACACTTTGTGCTGAGTATCAATACCCTTTTTCAGTTGCTTTGAACTTTCACAAGACTCAATACACGTGGACACTTTTGGGTTTTGTGTAGGTTTCACTCAGACAGTGTTATGTCATTTTCAAACTGGTTTTAAGGTGGAAGAAACCAGTCAGTCAAAGTTAAATTAAAGAATTGAACTGACAGTGGTTTAACCAACTTCCAGTATTTGGTTACTGATAACAGGGAAGCTTGCAAAGCAGGAAACAGACTAAACAACATACTTTTAGTCCTGTGAGGTGTACTATGAAGAAAATTCAACATAGCTGGGGTTTCCTTGTGTTAACAAAAACCTGAAACCCCAGTTGGCGATAATGGGTGTCATGATGGTGATTATCAGCGTTATTGGTTAACTCGGGCTGCCTGCTTTAGGCTGTGAGCTCTCTCACGTAAACAGCAGGGTGTTATTTTTGCACAAATTGGACCGACTGAGTATGGCCTATTACAAATAAAATAAAATACAAAAGGTAACATTGGTGCTGCAAATCGGTTATGCATTCATTTCTAACATGACAGCTGCACATTGACACTGCAGCTGGTTAAACTGGATCACTTTAAGCTTAGCACCTTTAGCTCCAGGACTGCCATGTAGCCTAACAAAGAAGACGTGGAAATCACTTTCGTTTTTGATTAGATCAAAGTGAGATTAGTTGTATTAATTGAAAATTATGGGTGTACTATTATCTGCATTTCCCAGCAGTGTAAAATGCATTTGGCATCTATATTAGGAGCAAGCAGGAAAAAAAATTGATGCACTTTCTGCATCAGCAGTGGAATAGAAATGCTGCTGTAACATGTCTCCACAGCTTCCTTTGGGCTTGTTAGTAAGATGCAACTCAGCAGGTTGCATTTAAAAGGTATTCCTCAGTGGAGAATCTGTATCACTCTTGGATTGTACTGTAAATTAAAAGAATCAGTGAAAATGTGGTGCTTGCAGCTTATTTTAAACCAGTTAATGTATTCATTTCTCTGTCAGGGTAAAAAGAGAGCAAAAAAACTGTGACTTTAAGCTTGCATGTTAATCTCACTTCACACATGCTCCCCTCTGTGGAAGAGTGGCTGCGGGCTACTCATGGTAAATAGAAGTGTGCGTGAGAGTGACTCAGTTAGGCTGAGCTGCCCAGCTTCTCTTTCAAAGGGTGATTCATGAGCTCATGACGCCACTGGTGAAACTTTCTCAATGTTCAAAAGGTTTTGACGCAGCTGATCTGATTGTTTGCTCCTCTCTTTGCAGTGCAGCACTCGGTAGGATGATCAGTAATCACGAAGAAGATGTAAGTACCTTTTCTCTCTCTCTCTTATTTAAATGTTTTAATTTTCAACACAAGTTTTGCTTTCTACACACGTTCACACTAGCCTTTAGCTAAACTGGAGAACAACAGACTGATGGGTAAAAGCCTCTGTAAAAAACAAAGTTTGCAGAAGAGGCCTGTGTCGTGCCAACAGTGTGGTGGTTTCACAATAATGACACAACACACATGCAAACAGCACTGCTGACACACTTTGTGTGTCTATCTTTCAGGAGTTTGTGGCAGTGCGGGTTCAAGATCCCCGCATTCAGAACGAAGGCTCCTGGAACTCCTATGTGGATTATAAAATATTCCTGCATGTGAGTATGAAAATGAACCAGCAGCAGAAATGTTTGGCCACAGCGTTTGTGGGTGATTAAAGATTTTTATTCAGGTTAAAGTTTTGGACCAAAAAACATAAACACCTGAAGAGAACATGTAAGGTTTTCTTTCCACACTTTAATTGTAGTAGTGATTATAGTGCAGATAACAGATGAGCATTACAAGTAGTTTTATGTCAACATACGTCTCCGTTTGACTGTTAACAGATTAAAAAAAATTAATTGTCTTTTGATAATCATTTATAAGCAGAAATGTGTAGTTTAAACTAGGTTATATCAACTAATTAAACCAGAGTCATAATTCAAAGTGAATGTGTGTTTAAGCACTGCTGCCTCAGAGCAGGAAAATTGTTGGTTTGAATCCATTGGTCCTCGTTGCCGGTAATAGGTTGTACTCATTCCCGGTAGGTGTTGGACTTCACTGGACTTAATTTTTTTCACTGATTGGGATCAAAATTGTATGGACAGGATTTCTGGGTGTAGCCAAGTCGCAGCTATGAGAATTGGCACCTCCAAGTTTGAGGTCATAGTTCTCAGCTGGTTCACAGAACCCACTGCAGGTCAGGGATGAGTTGTTGCTGCAAGTGCCTCCGTTAGAGCTAGGGTTAGGAGCTCGGTCATTTGAGAAGGACTCAGAATGTAGCCGCTACTCCACCATATTGAAAGGAGCCAGCTGAGGTGGTGCACTGTCTCACTAGGATGCCTCCTGGGTGCTGGTGTCCAACAATGAAGAGGCAAACTCAACACATGCATGAGTCCTCCCAGGGGTTTTGGAGGTTTTGGCTTCACTGCATGCCTGCATGGATGGATGGAGTACTGCAAACTAACTGTTTGCAGTGATTACAGTGCAGATAAAATGCAAAAAATACACAGACTTGAATGTTAAATAGTCTGTGACACATAAAGACATTTCTCCCTGAAACAACACCTCAAGGATTTCCTCAAACTTTTTTAACAGATAAGATTATAAAAGAGTCGGGGCTTTACCGCTCCTTGAATGTTTTTTGTTTTTTTTAGGGGGGAGGAGTTTCACGTTGTTATGGAGACACCAGCCCTGCCGAGGAATGCTGTTTCAGCAGCAAGGCTTCATGCCTGGGCGGATTTCCTCTCTGTGTCTGTGTGTTTGTGGGAGCTGACTCATGATATTGGTTAAAACTATGCAACCTCACATGATCTTACATGGGTTTGTTTGTTGTCGACATGTTATTGTGTTGCATAGGTGAGACAGTTTCCTCAAAAATACTTTTTTTTAGGACAAAAGTTAGCACTTTTATTGCCTCTTACTTCACAGTAACTATAAACCTGTCCAACATTTAACTGCCTAAGCTCTCTCTGTGTCTAAATCTAACCAGGGGTTTTCCTGCATATAAACATTTTTGCGACCCACCAGAGAGGTTCTGACTTTCCAACAAAGGGAAATCACAAGTGCTGTGCATTTTTCTATAAATGGGATTTAATTTAAGTAGACGCTTGAAATACATTCCAAGTGGCTGAAAGTAAAAGCGAATGCACAGATCTCTGTAAATTTAAGTGGACAAAGCGCATTCTTTGTCCTAATTTCATGCAGGCTGTGCTTACATGTGTAGTCACCATTGTGAACCAGGGAAAACCCCGCTCAACTATTACTTTTAAGGTCC